AAGAAGATCCGTTAGCCGTAGAGCCCTGCTGGCGGGGAGGTGAGGGTGGGCGGCCGTGCCGGTGAGAAGGACAGAGGAGCCCCGGGGAGGCTGGATGAGCCCTGGGGACAGGGCAAGGAGGAGATGCAGGGCTCCGGTGCCGGGGTTACCAGTGAGAGAGTAGATGAGCAGGCAGATGAGCATGGAGAGCACGGAGACGGCGACCCAGTGGGAGAAGCTCTGGTTGCGCATGCTGCTGTAGATGGCCACGCAGGCCTCGTGGCACTGCAAGGGCACGGGGGGACAGCAGTGGGGGTCTGTGCAGGGACAACCCCCAACACCTTCCCTCCCACCCATGGGTGCCCTGTCCCACTCTCCTGTGTCCCCGGGGGCTTGCGTCCTGCCCCACAGCCACCTCTGGTGACAGCCACGGGTACCCTTCCCTGGAACCACCCCCCACCCACCCACAAAGGATGGGGTGCCCGTGGTCCGGGATGCCGCGGGAGGCTGCCAGCACTGCCCCAGCAGCTGGGGACAGTGGGGCCAGGGGGACCTACCTGGAAGCCGAAGCAGATGGTGGGGATGACGCTGAAGATGGAGGCCCAGGAGGAGGCCCTGTGGCATGGTGGGGAGGAAGCGAAGGGCGTGAGGTTCCCCGGAGGCAAAGGGGACCTTGGTGGCATAAGCTGTGAAGCCTGGATGCCACCGCAGGAACCTTCCGCCCGGTGATTTTGGGCGAAGGTGGGATTGCTGGGGCAAAAGTTAGGGTTGGGGGCTGCCACCCACCCACTGCCCTGCCAGCGCTGTCCCCAGCTCACTCCCAGCCCACCAAGGGACACCCTGGTGGGAACCCATGGGGGAACGGGGGTGGGAGGGATGCGGGGCAATCTGCCCCCCGCCCCGACTACCTGGAGGGCTGGGGGGGCTCGGGCGAGCCCAGGCTCTCTGCCTGCAGGTGGTACTTCAGGACAATGACCAGGGTGAGGTAGCAGGCGGCCAGCGTGCCCAGGATGCTGTCGGGACACAGGAGAGGGTCAGCATGTGCCCCCCCCCCAGCAGCCCGGAGGGG